TGTTGCACTCATGCTCTGGTTCAGCCTCTCATTGCTCAAACTTAACATCCACCATAGATGATAGCAAGTCCCTTCTTTACTTTTACACTTCCTATATTCATTTCACATACCTTTATACTCCTTGGATAACTTGTCTGGTGTTAAATAAAAATAATACATCGTCTGACAGAAAATTTCTTTTAGATTATAATGTAAATTAAATTGTAAACCCTTCATCCACATATTTTTCCATTGTTAAAGCATCACATTATATCCAAAATTCCTTGCCCACTGAATTATAAAATGTTTTACATGTTCATTTTCCAAATTCAATTTCAATAATGTTTTAAAGATCTTAGCGATAACATGTTCATTGTTTCCGCGTAATAAAGTTTGTCATCCAACAAGTGTCTGGTAAAAAAAGCAGACAGTGTGACATATTATGGAACAATGCTTTCTGAGCACATGTCAGGAAAACCTCAGAGACTTTCTGTATGCAAATCATGTATTGACTATATAAATAGTCTACCTTTGAATTTGCTCATTGAATCATTTCATATTTTCTCATTGAGAATGTAATTCTGATGTCCTTTTTAACATTTTTGCCATACCCTAAATAAATCTCTGTCTATATAAGTGAAATACCACTCATGCATCATCACAAAATCTCCAGAACTGTAAAGCCTACAAACTTGAAATTTGGCACGTTTGTTCCTCTTGGCTTCTAGGTGCTCACTAAGAAAGGATTTTTCAAAATGACCATCAGAGCATTAGTATTTCCTATATTATTATTAACATGCTCTGATGCTAAGGAGTTCTACTTCCTCTCCCCATTCCAAAAAGAAATCTCTTCCAAATGCAAAACACAAACAGAGGAGTTTCAGTTTCAGTTTTGCTTTCACAGCAGCAACAAGGTTTAGTACAGAACAGCTGAGCTAAGCCACGCCCAGGCTCCTTGCTGTCTCCTTACTCACACAGCAAATACTATTTCAGTTTCCATCTTTCAGTTTCCAAACAGCCCTCAACTCTTTCACACACTGACAGGACACTAGCTGGATGAATATCGATGGCTGCTGGTAGGCAGAGGCACAATTTTTCCCGTTATTTTCCTCCCCCAAAACTAAGCCCAATCACATAGTTTCATCGTGAAGCACAGGTATAGAGCAAAGAAAGAAAGAAAAAGAAAGAAAGAAAGAAAGAAAGAAAGAAAGAAAGAAAGAAAGAAAGAAAGAAAGAAAGAAAGAAAGAAAGAAAGTGTTGTAGTTTGAGCAATGAGAGGCTAGACCAGAGCTTAACACGGAACGGCTTTATTCAACAGAATAAAGGGCTGTCGCGTCTGCATACTAACAAGCAGACATGCCCAGCGACCAGCGGCTGGCTCAACCCAGCAGCCGGCTTTTATAGCCGGCTGTCGAAGGGAGCCAACCAATGGGAGCAGCAAACGCCCCCGCAACATGAACTGACTTGGTTGGGGACTTCGGTCAGTCCCAAGGACATAACACCCCTTCCCCCCAGATGTGAACACGTATAGTCTTTTAAATACGCTGGAGGTCTGTGCTGGCGCCCGGAGCGGCGTAGCTCTGGCGAGGCACTGTGTGGCACCGAGTTCGGGGAGCCCGACCTGGTTGGTGTTGGAGAGTGGTTTTGTTCTGGTACCGGACCTGGCGCCTGTGGACAGTCTCTGCCCTCGGGTTGGTTTGTCACATAGTCTCTGTCCAACAACCCGGTGGCTTCACTGGTCAGCAACGTTGGAGCCTCTGGCTGGCAGTCCCGGTCTACTGCCCGCTCCCTCAGTGGTGACAGATCTCTCTGCTGGTCCCCGGTTGGGCCCGGCTGTGGTGATTGCAGATTGACTGGAGACCAGGGCTCTGCGTTGGTGTGACCGCTCCGGCGCTTCCTAATCTGGTCCAGGTGCCTCCGCCAAACGCTACCGTCTTCCAACTGAACTCGATACAATCTCGGACCGGTGATGGCCACGATCTTCCCTGGTACCCACAGTGGATCCCCGGCATAATTCCTGACAAACACAGGATCCTGCAAAACAAAATCTCTGACCCAACTATCAGAACCAAGAGGAGTGTCAGGGCAATAGTGGGGGTGTAGCCTGTCCAACACAGTTCTTAGGCGTCTGCCCATTAGGAGTTCGGCCGGGGACTTGTTTGTGACCGTACAGGGGGTTGTGTGTTGGCTTAAGAGGAAACGGGAGAGTCTCGAATGCCAGTCCACTTGGTTGAACCTGGCCAATGCCTCCTTCGTTGATCTAACAGCTCTCTCTGCCAACCCGTTGCTGGCAGGGTGAAAAGGGGCACTTACCCACTTGACGATCTCGTCATCCATGCCGGGCCACCAGACATAGCTTCGAGCCAACGCTTTCATCCGGACAACACCCGGGTGGCCCTCGTGCAGTGCTTTGAGGACGGATGTGTGAAGCGAGGTTGGAACGACGACTCTGGTACCCCACAACAGGCAGCCCTGTAAACTAGAAAGCTCCAATTGTCGAGTTTTAAATGGTGTGAACTCAGGTGCAAAGTTAGTGACCGGCCACCCCCTCCTTACCCAGTCCAGAACCTGGGCGATTGTTTTATCTTTCTTCGAGTGAGTGGCGATGTCGTCAGCGGTGATAGGTAGGTTGATCTCGCTAACATCGAAGATGGCGTGGACAGGGGCTGGGTCCTCCACAGGGGCTGGCAGGGGGCAGTGGCTGAGGGCAGCGGCGTGGCTTAGGGTTTTCCCTGGGCGGTGGACGAGTTTGTACGAGTAAGCTGCCAGGAACAAGGTCCATCTCGTCATCCTGGGTGACAAGACTTGGGGGGTTTGTTTGTCCCCGGACAGGAGTCCCAGAAGTGGCTTATGGTCCGTGATGAGCTCGAATTTGTGACCAAAAAGGAATTCGTGAAATTTTTTTACCGCAGCAACTGCGGCAAAGGCCTCTTTATCAATTTGGCTATAATTACGCTCGGTTGTTGAAAAGGTTCTGGAAAAGAAAGCGATAGGTGCCTCGGAGCCATTGGGTAGTCTGTGGCTTAAGACGGCTCCAATCCCGAAAGGGGATGCATCTGTGGCTAAGACTAAAGGAAGGCATTGGTCGAATTGTATTAGGACAGCGTCTGAGGTGAGCAGAGACTTGACTGCTTTAAAAGCATAATCTTCTTTGGGTCCCCAGTGCCACGGTGTATTTTTGTCTAGGAGCCTGTGCAGGGGTTCGGCTATGGACGCTTTGTGGGGTAGGAACGATGCGTAGAAATTTAATAAGCCCAGGAAAGCTTGTAACTCAGATTTAGTAGATGGAGTGGGTGCCTCGTGGATCGCTTTGACTTTAGATTCCACAGAGGCGTCTATTCTATACCCTAGAAAGTCCACCTGCTTAGTGGCGATGGCACACTTCTCCCTTTTTAGTTTGAGACCATGCTGCCTGAACTTGTCTAATACCGCTCTGACTCTTTGGAAAAGTTGGGGTCTGTCCCTGGCTGAGACCAATATGTCGTCAAAGTAAGGAACTACGCCAGGGAGGCCTTGGAGTATTCGTTCCATTAATGACTGAAAAATGCCTGGGGCCACACTTACGCCAAATTGGAGACATTTGCACCTGAATGCCCCTCTGTGAGTAACAATAGTTTGTAAGTCGGCCGTTTGACTGTCAACAGGGAACTGCTGATATGCCTGTGACATGTCCAATTTGGCGAAAATGGTGCCAGGTTCGAATGTGTGCAACAGGTGCTGAATGACTGGGACTGGGTAAGCGCTAACCTGTAGGTAGCGGTTAATTGTGGTCTTATAATCAGAACAAATTCTTAAACTGCCATCTTTCTTCAGGGGCGTGACAATCGGGGTCTCCCACTTGGCAAAATCCGTGGGTTCTATTACCCCTTGCCTAAGTAATTTGTCCAGTTCCACGTCCAGCTTTGGGCGTATGGCAAAAGGTACTCTACGTGGTTTTAAATGGACGGGAACTGCCTGGGGGTCTACCGAAAAAGAAATGGGCGTGCCATTATAACATCCTAATTCACTACTGAATACATCAGAGTAGTCTGCATATAACGAGTCAATATCAGAAGCTGAGACAGCATGGATTCCCATTATACTAAGGCCGAGAGAGGGGAACCAATCCAACCCCAAAAGACTAGGGACGGCACCGTCAATGACCACTAAAGGCAAATGGCCTTTGAAGGTTTTAAATTTAACGAGGAACTTGCCTTTGCCGAGTACTGGAATGTTCTTTCCTTGATAGTCTCTCAAGATGAGATGGCACTTCTGGAGTTGGTTCCTCGACAGACTGGGCTGGAGTTTCTTGAGTGTGTTCCATGAGATGATTGAGAGCGCTGACCCCGTGTCAACTTCCATGCGGCAAGGCTTACCTTCTAGATAGATAGAAAGTGTGATTTTGTTAGAGGTATGAAAGGTGTGGTTAGCGTGATAGCACGTGTGACAGTTTTCTACTTGCCTTTGAGGCCCAGGAGAAGAATAAGAAGGAGATTTTTGAGCCCCACTGTGTGTTGCCTGGCAGACCCTGGCGATGTGGCCTTTCTTGTGGCAGTTGTTGCAGGTAGCGCTCCTGAACCTGCAAGCTGTCCGGGAGTGGAGTCCTCCGCAGGATAGGCACAAGAGAATGTGCTTGGGTGCGTTGCCGTTTCCCTGCCTTGCCCCTACCTGTGATTGTCTGGATGGCTTGAGACGATGAACATCTGAGTGTTCAGTAGGGTCGTCCTCACTCACCGCCTCCTCAGAATGTACGGAAGTAGAGCTGGGTTTGGGTGCGGTGCCCTGGATCTCAGCGGCTGACTGGGTTGCTAGTTCTGCAGCTAAGGCTTCTTTGACAGCTTGGGAGAGGCTAAGATCCTTTCTGGCCAGTAAACGTCTCTGGAGCCTCAAGTCTTTGACCCCGCAGACGAGTTGGTCGAGTAACATGTCGTCCAAGTAATTTTTGAACTCGCAGTGGAGAGCTGCTGTCCTCAGGGCGGCCATGTATTGATTGATGGATTCTCCCTCGGCTTGCTTCCTCATCCAGAAGGCAAAGCGTCTAGCGATCTGCGATGGTTTTGGAGAATAATGGTTGGAAAGCGTTTCCAACAGCTCGGCCCATGGGACGTTCTTGATTTCCCATGGCGCGAAAAGTGCTGTGGCTGTATCGAAGACTGCAGCCCCACAGTAGCAAAGGAAGTAAGACTTCTTCCTGTTCTCCGCAGCATCAGCCAGACCGATGGCATCAATGTAGTGATTGAAGCGGTTTCTATAAGAGTCCCACTTCTCTTCGTCCGGCTTAAATGGCGGGAAAGCCGGGTTGGAGTTCATCTTGGAGTTTCAGTCTGTTAACTGACTGATCTATCTCTCTGGGTAATACGAGGCCCTGAATGTGTTACCGTGAGCATGGCGGCTGTGGCTGCAGCGCCTTAGTTGCTCAGTGACTTCAGCTCTAGAGAGGTTTTTTGTATTTCACACTCCCTGTTAGCGCTAAGCGGCTGCGGCTATGGCGCTGTAACTGACAGCAATTTGAATTTCGCGCTCCTGGAGAGCGTAGGCGGCTAATGGCTGTAGCGCCGAAACTGTCAGTGATTCAATTGCGCGCTCCCTAGAGCTGGTTTGAATCTCGCGCTCTTTTATGAGCTGGGCGGCTGCGGCTCTCAGCGCCCTACTTTCACTTCTGTAGCTTTCTAACCGAGCGGCTACAGACGCTCTGCTTTCGCTTCCTTCTCTTAGCGAGCTGACCGAGCTCTCAGCGGCGCGGCTGCGGCTCAGCGCTGGGTGTGATTTCAACTCGATTTGTTGGTTGCTTCTGGTTAGCCTCATCCCATCCTCGTCGCCAGTGTTGTAGTTTGAGCAATGAGAGGCTAGACCAGAGCTTAACATGGAACGGCTTTATTCAACAGAATAAAGGGCTGTCGCGTCTGTATACTAACAAGCAGACATGCCCAGTGAACAGCGGCTGGCTCAACCCAGCAGCCGGCTTTTATAGCCGGCTGTCGAAGGGAGCCAACCAATGGGAGCAGCAAACGCCCCCGCAACATGAACGGACTTGGTTGGGGACTTCGGTCAGTCCCAAGGACATAACAGAAAGAAAGAAAGAAAGAAAGTAAGTCTGGGTTGAGGGGATGTCTGAAGTTAAAGGACTCAGGAAACTCATAGCAAAGCAGTAACGTAAGTTTCTTATTTTCAACATTTTAAAATGGCAGGAATGAAGACAACAATATATCACCTTGACACTGTTTCTGGGGAATGGTGCATAAGCATTTTGATTGGCCAGACCCTCAAATTGGGAGATGTCAGATATGAAACAATTTTTATGCTGATTTATATTTCATTGATAGTCTAGTTAAATATAAAGAATATACTTGAAATGGACATTAATTAAAGTTGCATTGCATGAATATACGAATAATAATACTTCTTATTTCAAAATTATTTCTCTCTCTTTTTCTTCCCCACAGAGATATCATCATTAATTACCTGCATGTGAATGTACATGCAATTAATTTAACTGTTGAAATGGAATAAATCTAGGGTATTTTGGAACAGAAAGATCACGTGGATTTTAAAAATTCTGGATTCTGGTAAATATATTTTGAAAACAAAAGTTAAGCGCACCGGTGCTTTTTCCTTCATTTAGGTCACAATAGGATAAGTAGTGCATTTTGTATTTATTTTTAAAGTTAATGAATAGGTATGAAATTAAACCAGGTCCGGAAAAGAGGATGGGATGAAATCTTAACTACAATAGAACTATAGGAATTTTAGAATATAGCAAACAAATGTTGGCGGTGGTTTGCCCTCCAAGCTTGTTTCAATTCAGCTTCTGAACATTTCATTACCAGTCTCGATAACATCATCAGCAGGATTTTCTAGTCCTATTCTCCTTAACTTATAAATGTATTGTGAGCTAAGGAGAACAGGACAAGAAAGCCTTCCTGATGATGTTACCTAGACTGGTAATAAAATCTTCAGAAGCTAAATTGAAACAAACCACTGCCAAAATCTAAAACCCAAGTTACAAGTATTTTCGATTATTTCATAGCAAATACACTTCTGTTCAGATATTTCCCAGGTTGATAAGATATGTTCTATAGTCTGTATTCTGTAAATTATATTAGGTATCATTTTTCCTTCTCAAGAATATTTAAAACACTTTAATATTTTCAGGAAATGAAGAGCGCGATAGCTCTCAAAATTCACTGATTCTGTGTATGGTTGCCT